CCGAGGCCGCAAGGCTGCTGCAGGCCCCGACGAGCTGGTCGAAATGCGATTCTACATTCCCGGAACGGCCACGAAGAAGGAGAAGGTGGAAGGCGCCGAAGGCGCTGAGGGCGAGGAAGAAGACAACGAGGAAGGGGCTGAGGAGCAAAATGCTGCCAATCTCTTCTACGAGACACTTATGGACAAGGCCGAGATTGGAGACGTCGCCGGCGATACCTTTGCTACTTTCTTGGATGTTCTTCACCTCACCCCCAGAGGTCGCTTCGATATTGACATGTACGAATCGTCCTTCCGGTTGCGCGGAAAGACATACGACTACAAGATCCAATATTCGGCCATTAAGAAATTCTTCCTTCTTCCCAAGAATGACGATACCCACACTCTTATCGTGCTTGGTCTCGATCCCCCTCTGCGACAGGGTCAGACCCGTTATCCTTTCTTGGTTATGCAGCTGAAGCTGGATGAGGAGATTAGCCTTGAGATGAACATGACAGAGTTAGTTTCCTTGCGCCTGGGTTTACTTCCGCCACTAATAATCTTTTAGGGATATCTTGAACAGTCAGTACAAGGACAGGTTGCAGCCGCACTATGAAGAGCCAATCCACCAAGTCGTCACCAAGGTCTTCCGTGGCCTATCTGGAAAGAAGGTCATTATGCCTTCCAAGGATTTCTCCAGGTCAGTCACTGCCCTATCTGTGCAACATCCCCGAACCCATTGCTAACATTCCCACAGCCACCACGGTCACCAAGGTGTCAAGTGTTCAATCAAGGCCAACGAGGGTCTCCTGTACTTCTTGGATAAGAGTCTCATGTTCGTTCCCAAGCCCGCGACCTACATTCAAATGGAGAACATTGCGATTGTCACAATGTCGCGTGTTGGAGGCGCTGTTTCTGCCAGCCGAACCTTCGATATCACTGTTACTTTGAAGGGTGGTTTGGGTGAACACCAATTTAGCAACATCAACCGGTAAGTACCCCGGCGTTGTCCTTTCCCGGTGATATTCTGACATGAACAGCGAGGAACAAAAATCCCTCGAAGACTTCTTCAAGGCTAAGAACATCCGCATCAAGAACGAGATGGCCGAAGAGGTATGTGGATTCTATTTTCATAGTATATTAATATCAATTGCTAATTACATTCTAGGCGTCTGGACTTATTGCTGCTGCTCTTGACAACGATGCCATGGGCTCCAGCGACGACGAAGTACGAGCTGACCGTGGATCAGCAGATGAGGATGAGTCCTCAGTTGACGAAGACTTTGCTGGTTCTTCGGAATCTGATGTGGCCGAGGAATTCGACTCTGATCACGAGAGCAGTGGTGATAGCGATGAAGAGATGGGCGATGCTTCTGGTGGAGAGGGTGACAAGCAGGAAGCTGAGCGTCCCAAGAAGAAGACCAAGACGGTTTAGATGTACAACAGCTAGCTCAAAAATATCCAAGTCTCTAATACATTTTATAGTCCCATGTTATGATATAGTGGAGCTCACGTGAGTTGGTGATTGGCGGGACCAATTCTGGGGGCTTGTTAACCCCTGATCTCAGGAGAAGAGAGATCTGGCAAGTACACCACAATTTTACACATGACAATAGCTTTCCCATTCATGGGTATTCCTATATTTCTAATTGGAAATAGAACTGTAGTTCTATTGCTTAGAACCATGCAAGCTGGTACAAATAAATCTGCAGGCGTTTTACGGTGTACGGAGTAAACAGAGTAGAAAAAGACCCGAAATTAAGATAAAACAAGAGCAATTAAAGATGAAATAGAAGAAAAAGTCCTAAAAATCTACAAATATAACGAGTCCAAATCCCTAAATTGTATACTTTGAACATATCAGGTGTTTCTACGCGGGTCGATCCAAACCAACTCCAGAATAGCTGGGCCCCCCGACAACCTCCCCCTTTCTTTCCCAGACTGGTTGAACCTCCTTCTCTCCCATCCTCCTCTTCCTTTCGTTTCATTTACTTCCTCTTTTCTTTTCATCGTCTTTCGCTTCTGGTTAATTTTAATCCAGGCCCCCCTTTTTTCTTTTTGGAAAACACAAATTCCAGGTAAAACCACCCCCCTTCTCCCCCGAATTTTTTCCCCTATCGCGACAATTCGACCCCACTGAAGATTAGGGAAGGCAACTGACATTCATCTAGGGGATCTTAATTCACAGCTTGACATATCCTGAATCACCCCTTCGCAATGTGTAAGCTGTCCCCCAGGATAATCAGGAGACAAACAATCTCGAGGCTCTTCCCCAGACAAGATGCTGATAGATCTGAAGCTTCACCACCTCCGAGCAGCCCCCCAGTCGCGTCTCCTGTCGCGTCTCGGGACTCGCCCACTCCCAACAACGGTATGGAGTCGCCTTACGTCGAGCGTAGCAACCCCATGGGCTCCGGTATCGCCCAGACCGTCACTTCCCGCGACCCCAAGGCCGCAGCTCAGGCCGCCACCGACATGAAGAACGTCGTTCGCCGCAAGCTGACTGGCTACGTCGGTTTCGCCAACCTGCCCAACCAGTGGCATCGCAAGAGTGTCCGCAAGGGCTTCAACTTCAATGTTATGGTTGTCGGTAAGTTAGACAGGTGACAATCTTCCATGGACCAAGCTCATATCCACCAGGTGAATCTGGTCTCGGAAAGTCCACTCTCGTGAACACTCTGTTCAACACCTCGCTCTACCCACCGAAGGAGCGCACAGGCCCCAATGCCGATATCATTCCCAAGACCGTGTCTATCCAGTCGACCAGCGCCGACATTGAGGAGAACGGCGTGCGTCTCCGCTTGAGCGTTATTGATACCCCCGGCTTCGGCGACTTTGTCAACAACGATGACTCCTGGCGCCCAATTGTCGAGAACATCGAGCAGCGCTACGACACATACCTCGAGGCCGAGAACAAGGTCAACCGCAGCAACATTGTCGACAACCGCATCCACGCCTGTGTCTACTTCATCCAGCCTACCGGTCACTCCCTGAAGCCCCTGGATATCGAGGTGATGCGCCGCCTGCACACCAAGGTCAACCTGATCCCCGTCATTGCCAAGGCTGATACCTTGACCGACGATGAGGTTGCCCTTTTCAAGCAGCGTGTATGTTTTTGGAAGACTCCTTTGATTCGATTGAAACCATGGATACTGACTATTCTAGATCCTTGCCGATATCGAGCAACACTCCATCCAGATCTTCGAGGGCCCCCGCTACGAGCTTGACGATGAGGAGACTATTGCTGAGAACCAGGAGATCATGTCCAAGGTTCCTTTCGCCGTTGTTGGTGCCAACTCCGAGGTGACCACTGCTGACGGCCGTCGCGTCCGTGGCCGTAGCTACCCCTGGGGTATCATCGAGGTCGACAACGAGGAGCACTGCGACTTCGTCAAGCTCCGCCAGATGTTGATCCGCACCCACATGGAGGAGCTCAAGGAGCACACCAACAACTTCCTGTACGAGAACTACCGTTCCGACAAGCTCACCCTTATGGGTGTTGCCCAGGACCCCAGTGTCTTCAAGGAGGTCAACCCTGCCGTCAAGCAGGAGGAGGAGCGCGCCCTGCACGAGCAGAAGCTGGCCAAGATGGAAGCCGAAATGAAGATGGTCTTCCAGCAGAAGGTCGCCGAAAAAGAAAGCAAGCTCAAACAGAGCGAAGACGAACTATATGCCAGACATCGCGAGATGAAGGATCAGCTAGACCGCCAGCGCGGAGAACTCGAGGAGAAGAAGGGTCGCCTCGAGACCGGACGCCCGGTCGAAGAGAAGGGCAAGCGAAAGGGCTTCTCTCTTCGCTAATGTCCATGACTCTGCCATTGCTTTTGCCTCTGCCTATACTTCTGGCAACTAACTGATCCCACTCTCGTTCCCCTTTTTTTCCTTACACTTGTCACCCATCACACTCCCTTACCATCCCATAACGCAACTGCTTTCTCACTGGATGGGCCCACGCACCGAAAAAAGAATGGGGGTTTTTTCTTACCGATTGATTGATAATACGATCCTGCGAGGGTCAGCCTGGGACCTTTCACTTCTTGTGATGTACTTTTTGCTACGCCATATCTTGTCTTGCCGCTTTTCTGTGTGCCCTATTACCCGCTCATTTCGTTATTTTCTTAGTGTTTGGGACATTTGGTTGTTCGCCGCCTGTCCGTTGTCTTAGTCAATTCAGCGCTTCAGCTTTAGATTTGCAGTTCAAGTAGACGGTAGACAGTATATAATGGCTTTCAGATGTATACGGTAGCTTGCATGCATGTAGATAACAGACATCACCTGCATCGGGTCTACGAGTACGGGGTACTCTCTTTGACTTGGTGTTTACTCATATTGATCGAATCAATCGTGATATGATCAAGCTAACTGATTGAGAAAGAGGAGAAAAGCAAAGATAGGGAAGTTATTCACGTTATATATTGTAGCACAACAGGTTATAGGCACATCAAAGTATGTGTATAAATCCCAGAGCCTGAGGCTGCTGAGAATATAGAGCAGTGTTAGTACTACCATTAAGCGTATATCTTATAAAAGAGACACGTTATATCCATTATATAGGGCTAGAAACCCCCTGTCGAGAGCCTCAACTTATCCTTAGAAGAGGGCCAGAAGAACATTAAGAGAGCGTAAGCTAGACTACAGAGAAACATATTAGTTTACTATATTTCGACCTTTAACTTGTCTATTGGAGTATTCCCTAAGACCTGTACGATGCCCATGAACTAAGTTAGTATCCACTGCCTATGCATGGACTGGGCCTTGTCGTATTAGCAGACCTTAGAATCATACCTATGAATTGGACTTTGCCTAGGTGGAATCTAGCTAACTTGGTAAGACACTCCTGTCTACTAATCGCACTCAGTCGATTATTAGTTGATCCACCAGATTATAGAAAATATTATTATTTGAACAAGATATGTACCCTAAATGAAGCTATTATTCTGTCAACTTTCATCTCTACAGAATAGTAAGAAGCCGCGAGCCTATTCGCTAGAACTTCCGTGATCACTATTTCCAGCTTAACCGGTTCAACGATGCATAAATGGATGCCTCAGAAGTTCACTGGCAGAGGATCGGGACTGCGGATCCCGTTGAAGCATTGACCAGAGAAACGAAGCAAATAGTCCCGTGGTTTCTGCATCAAAATCAGATCGCAGTCTTTCCCCAACGTGGACGGCAAAGCCGTCATAGCCATTTCCAATGATCTGAGCGATGAGATCCTTCAAAATTGCGCGACATTCTTCAGTGGTACATCCGAACGCCATCACAGGAAAGAGAGGCTCATTTGTAGCAAGCTGGAATATCTGTTTGGTTGAGTTGGCTATAAGCTATCACAACGAATTGAGAAGCAGTACTCACTAAGCAACCTAGTGCCCAAATATCAATCTTATTATCCAATGATCGCCCATCAAGCAGTTCAGGGGCTTTCATCCCTAATGGAGTCACAGGACGGGAGTTCTTATCATTCGATTGAAAGGCTGTTATTGTAGGTCACTGCTATCAATGAGCCGTATCTCGAACTAGTCAATATGTGGTGCTTACCTCCGCCAAGATCACCAATCTTGACCATCAACGATGAAGTATCGGCAGTATCTAGCATACCGTAGGGTCGCTGAAAGATCATTAAATATTACAGCGCACTCGAGTCTACTTCGATCCCTGGGAGCCAGCGTACGGGACTAAACTCTGGTGGCGTAAGAAGGTTCTGAAACTTGGCCTGGTTCGTATTTAAAAGTATGTTCGCGGGGTGCAGATCTAAGGGGATATTAGAACAATGGTTGTTTCTCTATATCCAAGATATGACATCACTTACCACTATGAATGATATTCATTTCATGAAGAAATTCCAAGCCAATAATGATCTGTGTGGATATGTTCCGCACAAACATGACATTTCGAGCCTTCTTACGATATGTCATTGCCTCGCCGTCAGACATCATTGGAGGGAACACAAGACAAAGGTGTAAACCGTTCGGACCTTTATGTTCAAAATGGCCGAGAAGGGAAAGAACATGTTCCTTGCCGGGATGAGGTATTCCCAGCTGCGACAATTGAGTAAGAACGGAGAGCTCTTTGCTCTTCTCCGAGGTAGTAGCTTTGAGGATTTTCAAGGTGACATCTCTCTGCAGCCTGTAGAGAAAGCTCAGGGATTAAAACAAGTTAAGAGAGTACAAGGGCTTACCTGTTGTCCCTTGCATGCCAGACGGTAGAAAATTGGCCATACGATCATTTCCCGATAATCTCATACCTCTCATTAAACAGATTTCCCAGATGTACAGGGTGATAGCCGCCAGCCTTGTGATCCTCGACGGGCTCAACGACGTCGTAGATCCTCTCAAAGCGACGCATATCGATCGGTGAGATGGATGATATTTGATTATAGCTGCGAGGAGGTGACAAGAAATAGAAATCCTGGCTAGAAGCTCAAATATACATGTTAGTGGAAGCGAGAGGGAAGAGTGAATAAGTCATGTGATAGGTTCCGTGTTGCTATGTACTCCGTACGTACATCGATGAAGGCTGATATTAACCGACGTGATCAAATACGATAGCAGAACTAGTACGTCGTAGAGGTACAAGATGATCCATCAATATACACAGATATTGTGGTCAGATAGACCTCCTTTGATTGATTTATTTCCTTGGGAAAATCGCTGTTGTACTTAAACATGGGCTTCGGTATCTGTTGTTGGTACATGGTATTATTTCTTGCAGGTTTAGTTTGTAATGCTTAGACTGTATTTGCGAAATAACTTTCTCCGCCATTCATTCAATGTTCCACGATGAGATCTCGATGTATTCAAAGGGTGACGGCAAAATACTTGAATAATCCTCTTCAACACCATGTAGAGTGGACGTCTTCCCATTGTCGGGGGCCGGAGAACGTGCTTCCAGAAATTGTGCTGTGAGAAAATAGTAATATGTATGTTGTATATCACGGTCCTCCCCAGGAATTCTCCATTTGATAGCTGTTATGGTCTTTTGTGTTGCACAGTTCTGTTGGCATGTAAAGGGTTAGAGAAGTCACGTGTATCAAATATGACATCATTAGCGTTATATCCCAACCCAGCAGATATGGCGGAGCGGAAAACGCTCAAGCGATGTCTCAATCATCTGGGTGCATGGAATCCCTCTAAGCTTACGAAAAACTACGGTTCAAACCGCGCGTGAGCTAATTTGGGGCATGGAGCCCCTCTATCCTGGGACCTTGCTAAAAGACGGGCAGGGGCCAATCTATCCCTGCCGGGAATCATCTTTTTGTTATTTTATTTTCGTTCTAAATTATACATGTCATTTAGAGATTCTTTGTGCCGACATGGACATATCTTTCTTCTCTTATGTTAGGCCTGATACTATGTATTATCCATTGGATTGTTACAAAAGAGAGAAGGAAAATGAATGCTATGAAGGCACCCTAGGCACCTGTATATCAACTGGGATTGCTACCGACGTTCGCCTTCCCTACTAAAGCCCTTATTCCAACCATTGGAGAACCACAGCTGTACGGCAAAGGAACTAAAGCTTTGGTGAGCATTTCAATTGACCGGTGATGATGTGAGCATTTTTGTTATGGTACACATTTGGGACCTGCTCCGAAAGCGACTGGCCCCGAGAAAAAAGAAAGGGAAAAAACACGCCTGCATCAAGGGAAATAAGGAATAGAAAATGAACAATATCAACCCCGGTTTACCAGGCCTCGGTCTCGAAGTTCTCAACCCCAAAGTACGAGGCAACAACTGTACGGTCCGAGAACTTGCGGCCCGCCAACGCCTTGAGAGCGGTGGTAGCGGACTCGGCGCTATCGTACTTAATGAAGATTTTGCCGGCACCGTGTCCGCGGCGGGGGATCTTCATACCAAGAATCTTTCCAAACTTGGAGCATTCCTCGCCCACATCCTCCATGATCTCTTCGTAATCTTCGTCATTGAGGAGCTCGTCAAGGGTGACCATGTTGAGAAGCTGCAGAACCTGGGTGGTTTCGAGATCCTGGGAGGTGGTCTTGGCGAACATCTGCATGGCATTCACGCCCATGTCGAGGCCAGAGGCTTGTGTGGTTCCAATGCTAGCGCGGACAAACTTGAGGTGGCGGTCGCCCAGTTCCATGCCGTTCAAACCTTCGACGGCAAGAGCAGTGTTGTTAGGGTCGACGTATTCATAAAAGGCAATTCCCTAGAAAAGTTAGTCACAAAACATTGGACGGTAGGGAGACACTTGAACTTACGCGAGACTCTTCTGTAGCAGCATCCTTGACCAGGACAAACGACTTGAGCTCGCCGAATGACGTAAGCAGCATGATGATAGCTTCCTCATTGATGTAGGCGGGAATATTAGAGATACAGATCTTGTTAGGTGAGTCAGGCACCTCGCTCAGCACAACGCCCTGTTGAACTGGCTGGGCTGCGCTGCCGTCGGGAACAATATAGTCCTTTGGTCGTCGCACTTCGAGTCCCTTATCTCCACTCTCCGCCATGGTAATTCCATCAAAGGCCAATGCGACTGTGGCGTCATTTGGATCCTTGAATTCCAGAAGCGCGAATGTTTTATCTTCAGAAACCTGAGCTGAAATGCAGGGGTCGACATTGTGAATAACGTTGAGACCATTCAACTGGAGATTGAAGAAAGAAATAACGGCATCGCCCGAGACACCGGGCGGGATGTTGTAAACGAAAAGACGCTTGGATTGGCGAGAGTTGGATGGCTTGAGGGCAGCGTTCTCGCTGTCACCAGTAGGGGGGTTCAGGAAGTCCTTCATGCGGCTTGGGTCCATCGGCTGCTGACGAGGAGCTCCGGGAAGAGGGAACATCCCTGAGATCTTTGCCTGTTCAGCTGTAACATTCTCGTAACCAGGAGGCTTCATATCCCATTGAGTCAAACGACGCTTGCGGGTCAACACCGAGGGCACATCTGTCAGGTCAGGAGTAGGCTCCTTGCGCCGAGGGGGTGTGGCGCTGCGCTTGCGCTCTCTTCTCTCACGATCTCCACGGTCTCCGCGATCACCACGGTCACCGCCGCCACGGCCGCCGCCGCGTCGGTCGTCAAACAGGTCGCGACGGGGTCTGTCGTCAAAGTCACGTCGGCGACCACCACCCCGATCACCACCGCCACGTTCACCACCACCACGGTCACCTCCGCCGCGCTCACCTCCACCACGCTCAGCGCGGTCACCTCGCTCGGCACGGTCGCCACGGTCCCAGTCTCGATCATCACGGCGGCCAGAGTAGCGGTCTTCACGCTCACGGGCGCGGTAGTCACGGCTGGTGGAGTATGAGTTCACTTCGCGCTCCCGACGGGAGTCCCCTCGGGATCCATGATGAGGTGAACGCGATCGGCGACGTTCACCGCGATCAGTCCGATCGCCCCGTTCAGCTCCACGCTCGCTTCCTCGTTCGGCACCTCGTTCGGCACCTCGCTCAGCACCTCGGTCGGCAGCTCGGTCAGCTCCGCGTTCGGGTCTGTCACCTCGGTCTCGCTCACGTCGCTCATCGCGCTAGAATTGAGGTTAATCGCCGCGGTTGCGATCAAACATTGCTTAGTACTTACGAAGTAATCGCGGGAACGTCCAGTGTCTGAGATATATTAGCATGTAAATCAGCAGTAATTGTAGGGATACATACCCCTGGATGAGTAGGTGTCGCCGTTCATGTTGAAGTTGGTTAAGGAAATGAAGCTTTGTCGCCAGTGAAGGGGAAAACTCATGACCCGGAGCTGCAGGCGGTGAGAGCCTTACCGCCAGAGTGTCGATGGGCCTGCCGGCAGAAAAGACCAACATAGAGACAGCGACTCCGCAGCCTCGAATGTCTATTTTTTGTGTTTCAAAGATGTCCGCAGGTGTTTTTTCGGAATGGCAGAAGCTGCCTTTGAGCTTGAGTGAGCTTTGCATCAATACTACCCTCAGATGTGGACAGTCTTTTAGGTTTGTCAGCCGATTTCTCGGCGCCGGGGATTGCAGATCAAACTGCTGACCCTTTTTAGATGGCAGAACCTCCCAGAGAGTCAGGAATGGCGATGTGTTCTCTATGGCCATCTTCTGTCACTGAAGCAAGACCCAGATTTCTTGTATTATAGATCTGTGCAACCTCCTTCCCATACAATCACACCAACCTCCGACAATGACCATCTCCTTCGCATTCTCAAACATTACTTCAACCTAACGCCAAATCTGAACGAACTTTACTCCCAATGGTCATTACAAGACCCCAATTTCAAGAAAAAGGCTGCCCAATTCACCGGGATTAGGATCCTTCGCCAAGATGCGTGGGAAGCACTGGTATCATTTATCTGCAGCAGCAACAATAATATTGCACGCATCTCCCAAATGGTGGAGAAACTATGCATACATTATGGAAAACCTGTGGCCACAATTGAAGGGCGCGCATATCATGACTTTCCTCCCCCAGATGCATTAACTGGCAAGGACGTGGAAAGCAATCTGCGCAAGTTAGGGTTTGGATACCGGGCTAGGTACCTATACCAAACTGCACTTATGGTATCAAACCGAGACAAGGGCTGGCTAGACAGCCTGAGCAACCCCGAGTGTCCAGCATTTGGGGTGGATCCTAAACCCAGTGGTGAAATGAAACCAGAAGGGCGAGAGGGATATCGCGAAGCCCATGAAAAGCTTCTTGAGCTACAGGGAGTCGGGCCCAAAGTGTCGGACTGTGTCAGTTTAATGGGCCTAGGCTGGGGAGAGTCTGTGCCGGTTGATACTCATGGTGAGTTCTCTTGATAATATTTCTGATTTCTCTAATCCTTTACGACAGTGTGGCAAATCGCACAGCGCGACTACCGATTTGGAAAAAGCTCCAATAAGAACTTGAACAAGACGACTTATGATGCTGTTGCCAATCATTTCCGCAAACTTTGGGGCAAAGAAGCTGGATGGGCTCATAGTGTGCTTTTCACTGCGGACCTGCGGACCTTTGCAGACAAACTTGCTGCAACTAAGAAGGTTGATGTGAAAGTGAAAGATGAAGAGTCTGATGTCAAGATCGAGACGAAAGTGACAACTGCTCTTTCTTTGAAAGTTCCTAAGGAGGAAGACATGGAGGAAGACCTCGATGTGAAAGTCAAGTTGGAGGACATAGATGATGCCAAGAAGCCCAGCGGCAGAAAGCGTAAGGGAGCCGAGAACATTGTTTCTGCGGCTCAAACAACAGAGACACGGAGAGTGTCCAAGCGACTTAGACGCTGAGGTTGCTAGGGACGATAACTACCTATGTATCGGATTTCCTCTGCCACTTCTTGGCTTTCCCTTCCCGCTTTAGTGCTCACCTCTTCTTTTCACTCACTGAGTAGATTTGGGCACGCCCCTTCGTCTTGCATAATCGTCGAACTTGCTCACTGAACGTCCACTCACCTTATAATTATGTAAGCCAGATGCCTCCCCAGGGCCTCATCAAGTGTCAATCCCAGGGTATGCATGAGGCGAGGGGCTCGGATACGGGGTCTCAAGTTAAAAGGGAAGGGGCGCAACCACTCGCTTGAATCTTCACTCACCCGTCTTCCGCTACGGCACCCTCAGACATTTCCGCAACACAAATTCAGGCTCCCCAGGGTGGAATCTACCATGTCCATCGAATCAGCGGGCATTAAAACAGTTGTTATAGACTCTGTTCCTCTCGTTCAGTCGGTCGTAGACGCCGCCATTAAGCTTCGAACCGACATTCCTTCACTTTTCATCGATCTGGAAGGGGTAGAGCTTGGTCGACACGGTTTAATATCTATCATGTCGCTCTACTTGCCCTCTTGCAAGAGAGTATATCTTATCGATATACATAGACTGAAAATAGGAGCGTTTTCTGCCGTCAACAGCGACGGCAAATCTCTAAAATCCATACTAGAATCTTCGGTCATTCTAAAAGTGCTATTTGATGTTCGATATGACTCAGATGCATTGTTCAGCCACTACGGAATCTCCGTTGATGGTATCAGAGGAGGGCAGCAATCCACTTTTTCTTTGTGGGTGGAAAGGATGGCCAAAGGAGGCAAACCGAAGACCGCTAGCACAGCCCAACAAGCCCATTCAAGGCTCTACGGCAGAGCGCAAGCTAGAGATCGGCTTCGTGAGTGACGCGTAAGCCACAAACATTCTCCCAACAGGAATCAACGTTCCTCAATGCCTTCCAATTTTGCCTCCTTCGCTGATTCGGGAGGTCATGAGGGGGCTGAGAAGATTGACATCCGATGTGTGTCTTGTTCGTCTAGAGGCTCTTTTCCGGGGAGAGATGTGCCTTCATACGCTTCTGCCTGCTCGAGCACTTTGCGGTCATCCTCCTCATTGTCTTTAGCTTCGGACTTAGATGATTGCGCCCTCTTCGGTAAGCTAGCATCTGGTTCGGCAAAATTGGCATCATTCATTCTTTGGAGTATCGTGGGCTCAACGTGGAATTGGATGAATGATTTTCAAGCTTTTGTAGGTCCACTAGTTTCCTCTTGCTTTTAAGTCATTTTTCTTATGCATATGATGGAGGACAAATGGGTCAAGAAGACAGAATCGAGCTTGAAGCAACAAAAATCGGGTCAATCTTAGACTGTGTACGGTAGCTTTGTTCGTATAGGGCTGATTCCTATCGCTAGTAACCTAGGGTAAGTGGATATACATAGCAAAATCCGCCGGTTTTTGATTATCAACGAGAATAGATGCGAAGCACCTCAATAAATTGAAAAGAGAGGTTCATCGCGAGGTTCTAAAGCAACGCTCATCATTCTACTCCTATACCACCACTTAACGCATTATACAATAGAATCCTCTCCTATGCTATCTCAATCACATACGACCATAGGGTGTGGAAAACAGGGCTTCCCGTCCGCTCAGCCGTACTTAAGCCACACGCCGGTGAGTTAGTAGTTGGGTGGGTGACCACCAGCGAATCCTCACTGTTGTATGTTTTTTGCTATCTTTTTAGCACGAGTGCTCATAGACTGTGATTGGCTGCTCAGTGAGGGCTCAGCGGGCCTTATATAAGACTCACGTGACTATATTTAGCAGCTCAGTGAGAGCCCGGAGTGAGATTTACTCAGTGAGCCTGACTCTTAAGCGCCCTCATAAAAGCGGCGGCAGCCAAGATAGGAAAGCCCCAGCCGGCATAAAAAAAACCACTACATAGAGGTCCCTAACTACATACTACTTTATCACATAAAAGTATCTGTACATGTTATACTACATAACGTTGCAAAGCAACCAAATCAAATGGTGGAGACATGAATGTACGATGGAGACATAAGTCTAGTGCAATAAATATGTGCATTATTATTTGAGAATCTTAGCTATGCCAACAATCAATGCCTATAACCGTAGTTAGTATAACGGTCAAACAACTTATAACAAAGTTTTGAAGTTGAAAAAAGTAGATCAGAAGTCCAGGTAGATCATCGAGCTAGCATCCGAAAACACTAGCGCTGACATAAGAGGTACCAGAAAATAAAGTAATAACAAATGCGTTGTATCATCATGTGGGAGGGTTGGAAATTGAGCAAAAGGAGCTGGAACTGACCTGATATTGATGGTGGCGAGACGGTGAAAGGCGTGTCGAGTGTAAATATTACAACTTGCACTCAAGATGAGCCAGAAAACATTAATTCCAGTCAACTCAAGTGCGAAATTGAGATTGTTGGTTGTTGATGTTGAAACAAAATAAGAAGAGAAACAAAATGAAGTTTTATCGACGAAAAGAAATAAGCGAAATCAATCACGTGACCCCACACAGGTCCCATCTTTCCCGTCACACACTTACACCCTTACACTTCTTGATTTTCGATCTTTCATCCACGCCGACAACCGACCAGATTTCCTCCGCCGGACACATCACCAATCCAAAATGGGTCGTCTTCACTCCAAGGGCAAGGGCATCGCCTCTTCCGCCATCCCCTACTCTCGCACCGCCCCCGCGTGGCTCAAGACTACCCCCGACCAGGTTGTCGACCACATCTGCAAGCTGGCCAAGAAGGGTGCCACTCCTTCCCAGATCGGTGTTGTCCTCCGTGACTCCCACGGTGTTGCCCAGGTCAAGATTGTTACTGGTATGAAAATCCGGCGAAATGCGATAGGAATTCGAGGATCGAAAATTTCTAACTTTTTTTTTCGCGCAGGTAACAAGATCCTCCGTATCTTGAAGTCCAGCGGTACGACTCCCTCCGCCCACATAATTACATCCGTCGGGTGAAGAGAGCGTTCAATTTGTGTGAACAGACTTTTCTGGTTCGGTAAAAGAACCGTTAAAGTCTCGAAGCGCAAAATGCTCGTCTCTCTCCCCGACAACTGGTCGCAGAAATGCATCAGCAATTAAGCCTCTGCTTGGTCAAGAATATCTAGACTGACAGAGAGATTTTGGAATACAGGCCTCGCCCCCGAGCTCCCCGAGGACCTTTACTTCCTGATCAAGAAGGTAAAAACTTTTTTCTCCCTCTTTTTCCTCATTTCCATCCGCGCAGATTATGCTAACCTCGAATCATCCAGGCCGTCGCTGTCCGCAAGCACCTTGAGCGTAACCGCAAGGACAAGGACTCCAAGTTCCGCCTGATTCTCATCGAGTCCCGCATCCACCGTCTGTCTCGTTACTACAAGACCGTCAGTGTCCTGCCCCCCACCTGGCGCTACGAGAGCGCCACTGCCTCCACCCTTGTCGCATAAGCGCATTTTGGGAGGATGAGTGGTTGACGGAGGGAACCCATCGGATCGTCGTGATCGTCGTATCTGGAGGGTCTATCTTCTGCTAGATACAACAAAAAAGATTACGATTATTTGATACCCTGTTCATGAATGCTCTAGACTCCATAATAGTTGTAGGTTTGGCTAGTAGGTTCCACATGGGTAATTTTATAGCTCCAATGATCGCCAGTCATGTCAATATAAAGCGGGTACTCGAGGTATATTGAATCTAGTCCCAACCATTAACTAGTAGGTACGTACCTACTATCTGACCTATGTTGTACGCCTCAAACAGACATATGTTCAAGAAAATACATGCATAGACGTTACACATCACACTCGGCTCTAACCTCCCTCGCCACGGCATTACAAAGCTCAACTTTAACACCAGCCGCCAACAAGATATGGATCCAAAGACGCTGGGTATCACTCAACCGATCATTCTCCGACTTAACCTCGGCGAACATCACCGTCCTCGTTTCATGATTCCAGAGAAATAAGTCCGGGATTCCCCCACCCCGCTGCTGATACTCCTGCGCCATAACTTTGCAGATGGTAGCAAGTGCCTCTCCCCGGAAACACTGCACGATCTCAACCAAGTCATCTAGATCAAAAGACCAGTCAAGCCCAACAGCGCAGGGCTGCACCCCACCCTCACGAGCATGGATCTCACGAACGATCCGCTCCGCATCCCCATTCGTGATCTCAACAAGCCGGTGGTTGATCTCTGATGCACGAGACGGGTAGAAGACATCAGTGTGGAGATCGAGCGGACAGGTCTGATACGCAGTCTGGAAGACATTCGGTACGTATGTAAAAAGGATATCGTAAAAGAGGTAGCCGAACTGTTTTCAAGAACGAGTCAGCTCGATTTTCGAAATATTCAAATGCTGCTTTCTAGGGGTAAGACTCACCAGCGTTCGTACAATCCCCCCTTCAGAGTGATACCCCTTCCATCCATGATCGCGGTACCAACTCAGACACATACTCTCCACTCTGCATTCGCCACCCTCTCTCTCATCAACCCAAACAGTCGCTTTCCCCTTCCGTGGAGCATCACTCGTATCAATACGAATACCCTCAATCGTCCGCTCAGCAGGCTTGCCTAGCATGACGTGTCCGAAATCATGCTGCTCGCGCTTCACAACCCGCAACGCCTTTTCTAGCTTCGTGATCCGCTTCTGCAAGTCATAATGAAAGATCAGATGGCACAGCGGGTCTTCCAGACCGACTTCGCACGTCCGCAGCGCAAGTCTCTTCCAATGCTTGCGCTGGGCTTCTTCGCTACGTCCATCTGAAGGCGTAAGAGCCCACATGTAGTGTTCTTCCAGCAGTGCCTTGCGCTGATACCACGCACCGCGTCGCGCTGCGTGGAAGAGACGTTGCGAGAGAAGTTCCTCTAACACCTCGTGCTCACGTTTATGCTCTTTAAACCGCCCGAGCGGGTTGAGACTCTTGTGGATGACTCTTGTGAGCACCCATGCTGGCGAGAACCGACGGAGATAAGCGCCTTCGCCGCTTTCATAGATGCTGTCTTCTTTCTTTTGCTCTTGCTCGACTAGCTCTTTCCATCGGGGATGGGATTTGTTGGCAAGGTCGATGATTTGTTGGAGGGAGTCTGTCGTGACTGGGCCATTGAATTCGAGGATATTATCAATGGCGAATTGGGTTTGTATCGCTGATTCGAATTCCAGTAGCGCTTCTCTGGAGGAGAAGATGGAATTCGAGCGACAGACGATATATTCGGGAAAGTTTCTTTTAGTCATTTTGGCTAGGATGATTGTTGTGAGGGACTTTTCAGTCCACTCGGTAGAACGATAGAATACCAGGTGCACTCGCTCGAAGAGAGCGCGAGGCACTGGTGAGATCCTGATGCATCCACCCGTGTAGTCTAATATCTTCTGAGTGAAATATCCGTCTCTGTTGTTCGTATCTTTAAGTCCTGTTTGGGTCTGGCTCGTTTCGCGAAGAGCCGCCAGCAGCTCTTTTTTGCTCTTGCCCTGAACCTTGGCATCCTTTGCAAAGATCTTGAGTTCCTCCAGTAATAGAAGTGATGAAGCCTCTTCCAGCGTTGTGATCGCTTCTATACCTTCTGCAAATCTGAACGTATCTCCGAGCTCTGAGCCAGGTAGGCTCCGGTCTCGCTGTAGGTCCTCGGTAACAGAGGATAAATCCGAGATATCGGAGTAGTAGTTCAACCGGTTGATACGATGCCAGGCAGAGGTCTTGCGGAGGAACAGTCGAACATACCTAGTCAAAGATTAGTCTCTACCGTAGCTCATCACTCTCTACGGGAAGACATACAGATATTGGGATTCGTAGGACAGCCCCCGCCACTGCGTAAAGATTTCTATTTCGGCCTCGTTAAAGAGATGCGATTCCTCGTCCAGCACAGTTTCCAGTGCCAGGTTGAATGCATCCACATAGATGGAGCTTTTGCCCTTCTGCCAGACACCATCTCGTAGCCTCACATGTAATCCCAACTCGGCGTCATTCTGCGACGTCTCGTACTCCTCGATCGCGTCCTCGTCGGTCTTGATCGCAGGAAGGGAAGTCTCGAGATCTGTTTGGCTGTTCGTAATAATCCCTAGATTGTCCACAGCGGGGGTCTCCCCCGCTGTGACCGAAGGACTCGGACTCGGTGGTTTAATGTCTGCGTCTGTACTAGAATCTTCATTTTCAAAGGTCCGCCGACGTTTCACGGGACGCTGCGTCTCCCAAAAGTTCAACAAGGACATGATCTCTCGTGTCCATGGGTGCAATCTGTCCCAACGACTCGAGTCTCCGAGTATAAGCAGACTCGAACGACGTGTCTCGCGAACAGGTTTCGAACACGAGATCACGTGTTCCAGATATCTCTATTAAGCTGTTTGTCCTGTTTGCATATGACATAGACAAAAGAGGCACAGCCAAACATACGAAAAGGAACTAAACAAAGACGATCTGAAAAGAAAGAAAAGAAATATCATCTGAATACCATTCGAAAAGACCCTAAGTGCAATCAATATCTAGATATAAAAATGGCCCTACCAGTAAGCCCCAGCTCTCCCTCCCTGACGGATCGACTCCGAGCTCCACAGCTTCCGCTCCGCCAGCATTCGATTCCACTGTCGCGACCTCCCACTTCCCTAAAGATACACCCAGGCTCTCAATTAACCTGTGCAGCCTTCCACCCTCGCAATCTCAGATCCACCCGTCTCCTCGGCTCCTATACCCACATCCCAACCAAAACCCACATCCACAATGGGTGAAATAAACGGTGCGAGCTCCGGCACGCCGCTTGGCGATTTGAGCAATATCTCTGCGGGCCAAGTTCGCCCCGGTGGCGCGCCAGCGCGTGTCTATCTCAATGAGAAGGTCGTGCCATATTTGCTTGACGGGATGAAGTCTGTTGCGCGTGAACAGTGAGTGGAGTACTATGGCTGGCTTTTTTATACTGGTCTGCTGGATGAATTTACTGATCTCTTTTTCTTTTTGTGCTAGGCCTGCCAATCCTCTCCGTGTGCTCGGCGAGTACTTGCTTCAGAAGAGTAATGAAGTGGAGGGCGAGACTAAGAAGGAGTCGGAGTAGAAAGAAAAAGGGATATGGTTTCTTGGGCGTTTGGTGCTTGATTGGCTGTTCTAGTATTGTTTTATTTATTTCCCTTACTTTTTTTTGTGAGGGCATTGATAGCTTTGGTTTAAAAAGCTTGTGAGTGTATTTTGATGTACACCAAGACGTTCACCATGTGATACCCCGGTCAATGTCTATACCTATCGTGCCAGTAGGGTCTGAAGGATAGCAGAAAAGAAAGATGATGAGATTGATGTCTCACAAACCGAGGCGATTATTTACCTAGGAGAGTAGAGTATATCAAATCTTACACAAGGAGAGCTTTGCCCCATGTATTCTACATTTTGTGGGTAATTATTTTCATCCTTCTATAACATTAAGGGGGGAAAGATCTAAAAGCGTATTATCTGACAATCTTGATAAAACTTCCCTATACCATCTAAGATGGGTCAGATTATTCAAGATCCTCGTCACGGACAAAGCGCGAAATAAGCGGCCGATACGAAGTAAGTGTGAAAGGCTATATATAAACCAGTAAGGCTAGGAGGTCAAGGAGCAGAACTGTCCCAGTGGTTCAAGTATGCATTATTCTTTGATAAAGACCCAAGTCTCTATGAATCAAAGAAAATCCACCCCCTGAATTCAAAGACACGGAAGGCTTTGGGTACGTTGTTACTCAAAGGATGCCCACAATCTTCCAAGTAGTGCACATCTCATGGTGGGCTCTATATTAACCAAACTAAGCTCGTGCAGAGGGCGCATACGATATTCCAAAAATGAAAGCCGATATATATTCCAGTAAGCTTGGAAATTCCTGAATAGTATAAGTACAAGATCCTATCCCGACCAAATATTCGGGAAAGAACAAAGGATTCCAATAGATTTTCAAAAGAATTCCAAAAAACCTAGATAGGTTAGCGAAACACATCTCACCTTTGGCATTAATCTCCAAATAGATTAATGCGAGGTTTAAAGGCTGAGACTACAAGCGCAAAGTCGACGGCTTTGAAGGCGAATGGTTCATTCAGTTGTTTAGAGAAGTCGAATACAAATCGAGCCGTTACTGGATATGGTGTAGAGGTGAAGTTGTAGCTGTGTGACGAATTTGTTGACCATGAGATAACCGAATTACAGCGATAATTTTCTGTCCCTTTGCCGCTAGTTTTTTTTTCCCGAAGTTGCGTCGCGAATAGACATAAAGACGACAACCGAAGTGTGTTGCCGAGTCGTGGCGCTCCGTTTTTCTTTTTCTTAAAAATCGTCGAGCCGAAACAAACAAAGACAGCGACGCCCCGTGGCCCGTGGCCCAAATCCCGCATTAAAACAATCCCAGAAACAAAGAAAAGGGGAGGAGGAAGTGGGCAAGTTGGTGAAACATGGGTACCAGGAACCAGGAGACATCAAAGGCCAGTCTCTGTTCTGGTTAGAA